AAAGCTATAAAACTTCATTCTCAGTTGCGCGGAATTCGCTCTTTTTTTGACATTGCTTCTACAATTTGTTTATGCGTGTCAAATTGTCGAAGCAATGTCAAAAAAAGAGCGAATTTCGCGCACGGGCGAGTTCAGGAATGACACACCCAGTGTAAGTGTAAGACCGGTGCGACGCCCAAGATGTTCAAAAATGCTAGACGGTGCTATGGGCCCAATGGCCAATTGTCAATTCAGGCATACCCATAAAATCGCACTCGCACCCTATGCGTTATTTCTGAACTCGGCCCAACAGAATGAAGCTTGAGTGTTTTCGAAAACGCCTAAAGGTGAATTCTCACTTACGAAAATGAGGATTATTTTTGATCCAGTAGAATAAAAGCACGTTTTGTTTTGATTTAGTAAAAAGTGAAAACCTAAACAAACTACGTCAACCAAGAACCACAAAACGAGTGTTACATTGGTAACGCCATCTATTTACGAATCAGAAATTATAGTTATATCGAATTTATAGGTCAAGTCTGTACACATCTGTGAGCATTTCTATAAATTTCTATAAAGGCCGAAACCCACTAGCAACACGCCACGTCATGCTTCGCCACGCCACGCCATGTGACGAAAATGTATGCGAAGAATAAATATTCTTCTATTTATTTATATGTGCTGCGTACAGACTTGTCATACGCGATACCACGCCATGGCACGCCACGCCATCCGTCTATTTGCACACAAAATGTCACACGTGAACCTGTGTCACATGGCGTGGGGTGGCGTGGCGTATTGTTAGTGGGTTTCGGCCTTAAGCCTATAACTGCCTTAAGACAGTTTGTAATTCTACACTTCCTGTAGATTACAAAATATATTATAGGATCGTAAATATTTCCGATGGAGTGTTTGGCAATCGATGCGTCTTGCAGTATCTATAGGCTTATAGAAATATATAGGTACTTCTGCTTACAGATGTGCACAGAATTGACCTGTTAGATACAGAAATACAAATTAATTAGAACATCGACATTAGACATAAGACTAAGTAGGCAGTAGGCTAAGAGCCACTGGTTTATTAATCAAGGGACAATTCGCATAGTTTGTTGACCCTGAGTTAACTCTAACTCTGGGCTAACTACCTAGTTAAGTCGGAAGGTGTTTATCCAAGATTTTTCAACCCAGGGCTGGTGGACTCTCGGGTTTTTCGAAGGTTGGCATAACTTATGCAACGTTGCCAGCTCACTTTTATTGATTTTTTGACGTTTTCTGCTCATTACCTTACTTATTTATGTTATTTTTCTTTTTTTTTCCGTTTCCGTAGGTGGGCATTCATACCAAAGTAGTACGAGACGTGCGACTTTCTGTTAGAAAGCAGGAAGCACGTTGCAACTTGCGTTTTCCATGTTTACATTCATACCAAAGTCACACAGTGCTCTCCTTTTTATCGACACTCCTCTATGAAACAAGTCAAGAATCTATAAACAACGTCACAACGTCATAGGTTTGTCGGATATTCAAATCTATGCTCGATTTGTTCTACAACAAGAACAAATGAAATTGTTTTTTTCCGCAAGCGTAAACGTGCGGAGTCGACGTCATCAAAATCGTCAAAGGGATTTGACCGCAACCTTACGTGATAGAGGCGCCGCTCATGCAAGTTCTAGAAATTCTAGAACATCTCAATCATCATTATTGAAATCTAGGTCCTTCATCTGTTCACAATATCAAAATTCAAGCCAAAACCACAACTTAAAAAAAAATCAGATAGAAAATAAGAGAACATTTTGAGGTTAACCCAGGGTCAAATGCTGGATGGATAAACACTCTTCGCAGCTTTGACCCAAGGTTATGCGTAACTCATGGGGTAACCTTATATTGATAAACCGGCCCTAAGACTCTTTGAGAATTTGAAAAAAAATAAAAAAATTGAAAATTGTACCAAATATGCGTCGTACCAGCGTACTTTTTCAAAGCTAATGGTACCAAATCTGGTACAATTGTACCACCTCTGGCAACATTGTTCCCACATACACTGCACTACACTTTATATTTAAACCAATAAAATATTTATCCAGCGACAATTTGCAGCGCAGCGTCGTGTCGCGTCGCCTAGCTGAGTGAACCGTAAGTGAGAATTAACCTTTAATTTATGCAACAATGTTTGACCTTTGCACAGAGGTTGTTTTTCGTTTCGAAAGAGTGCGTGTGGCCCAAGACGGCACAAGAATCAGCGCCATTTTGTTTACTTGACAGAGATAGTAGTTAATGAAAAATTTGCCTTCGGCGCCAATGCGCCATTACCCCCATTTTGTTTACCTATAAAAAATTTAAAAAGGGAGAGCAAGAAGTGTATGCCCTATGTCAAATTTGTCATGCCCTATCACAAATTTGACTCTAGCTACGGCCCTGTACATACAATGTCTAAATCACTATGAGGGCGGAGCCCTCATAGCAAATTCACTACAGGGGCTCAAGCCCCTATTGCCCCCATGGTTCCGGCGCCTATGATTGGGATGGGAAGGTGTTCATGGGTGTTCAAAATAGAGTGGTACTTGTATGGTACACAACTAACATTTTCCAACCAAGTGAAGTATTAAGGGGTCACCCTGGACCGAACACTCACTTGGAACAAACAGAGAAAACATGCTCTCGAGCTACATCAGCCATTTGTTGGCAAAACATGGGGGCTAAAGCTAAAGATGGTATTCTGGATTTACCAAACTATAATAAAGCTCATGGTCACATACGCCTCATTGGTGTGGTGGCCCAAAACCCAACAAGCTACCGCTCAGATCAAGCTAAGAAAGGTGCAAAGGCTTATATGTTTAGGAATAACGGGAGCAATGTCAACTTGCCCCACCGCAGCCTTAGAGACGCTACTCAATATGTCCCCACTTCATCTATGTGTGAAAAAGGAGGCAATAACTAGCGTTCACAGGCTATTCCAAATAGACAAGTTCAAGCTTGGTGATCTGAGGAGACATCTGCGAATCCTTGATTTAATAAAACTGGAGAATTCCAGCAAACACAGATGGAAGCTAATGGAAGGAGCTGGACTGGGCATCTCCGGCTCTAACTTCAAGCTCTCCAAGGCATTGGGTAAACATCTTACAATATTTCAAGCTGAACTGCTTGCCATAAATATATGTGCACAAGAGTGTCTCAGCCAAAGCCTCAAAAGATAACACATCTTCATATTATCGGACAGCCAAGCTGCCTTGAAAGCCTTAAGGGCTTTCAAATGCACGTCAAAACTAGTCTGGGAGTGTAAACAGACTCTAAAAACACTAGCGAAACACAACCAGGTAACGCTGATGTGGCTGCCTGGTCATCGCGGCATAGAAAGAAATGAAGAAGCAGATGGTTTCGCAAAAGAAGAGGCTTCAACACCATACCATGGACCAGAGCCTTACTGTGGCTTAATGAAAAGCCACATCATAGAAGAACTCAATAAATGGGACAAAGACCAACTGTCATAATACTGGAGGCACACACCGGGACAGTCTAAAAGGTTTATTACCCTTTCAGCAAAAAGAGCTGAACAACGCTAAGCATGAGCCGACCAGACATCAGATTGGTGGTGTGACTGCTTACAGGACACTGCCCAGTAAAATACCATTTAAGGTAAATGGGCAGAGCGGAAGACGATCCCTGCAAATTCTGCTCAGACGCAATAGAGACCGCAGAGCACCTGCTCTACGAATGTCCAGTCCAATTCTGCAAGAGGCTCAAATTCCTCGAGGGGGCAACACTGTCACTAGAAGAAGTGGGCCAACTGACACCCAGGAAAATAGCTTCTTTCGGCAGAAATCTACGCTTCCTGGAGACAATTTGAGATGTAGAGTCATGTATAAAATATCTGGAAAGGTAGCAGTGCTGAGCGGCTGAAAAGCCGAAACGACTCCCCCGCAATCTACAATGGGGTTGTCTGGATCATATCTCGTTACAGTCATTCTGCATGTTAGAGGGGAGCCTTGAACTTGGTGCCTATAGAATTTTTTGCAGATTTTATCCAGGTAGTCAGATATATAAGGAATGCATGCTTGCGCATGCATGTCCCTTATTTTGGCGTACCTGGATTCCGACAGCACTCCCCTCAAGATGCGGTTCTGGAAACGTTGCAGACGGTTTATGGAGATTATGTTCCAGACAAGGGCCCCATATGTTAGCATAGGTCTTATGACCTGTTTTTATATGAGCAACTTATTACCTGGCGATAGGGGGGAGTTGCAGCCGATGAGGGGGTAAAGTTTTGCTGTGCACTGAAGGTGCGAGCCAAAGCATGAAAAACGTGGTGATGGAATTTCATTTTCTGATCAAAAAGGATTCCTAAGTATTAGGCAATTCAATCCATCTGTCAAAAAGGAAAATTCAAAGTGGCGTGGCGGCCAAGCAAGCTTGTTTTGAATATGTTTTTATGCGTATTTTAAATTATTTTGCATACAACTTTGGTTTTTATTATTTAATAAAATATTTGTTGACTAGGTACCTAAACTATTAATGCGGGCAGAAACTAGATATTTTTTTGCGTTTTTTGGCCCATGTGTGGCCGCCACGCCATCTTGAATGTCACGTGGTTTGAATTGCCTAATTTCGCCTTTGGGGACAGAGTGACTGGGATGTAATTCACGATAAGTGGGTTGGGCATGGTGCTATTGGTATGTTTCTTGTGGGAGCATATGAGCTTCGTCTTTTCACCATTAACACCAAGCTTCCACCCATCGTAATAAAGTTAAAGGATTGCAAGGTGATGGGCTAGCTGAAATTTTGATGCTTATTTGTGAAAGGATTGAGCGTAAACAACGGTGTCAGCGTCAGCTTTGTATTCTGGATTCATAACTTGAAGCAACCTTATTTTAACACAAACATTAAACAAAAATATATTTAAGCTCTAGCATTAAAGGGATAAGGGTGTACGGTTTCAAATTAACCCTCGACACGCTGAAGATCATCCATTGTCGTTCACCCTTATCAAAATGGCTTATTGACTCATCGAATAAAAATTCTATACTAACCTTTAAATCGATGTCATCATTATTGACATTCTCAGAACCAAATTGATGATAGATCAAGTTGACGATGGCAAGTACGGCCACAAGGGCAGCGGCCGCCACTGCGCTACTCACGCACATCAAAAACGATCCGTAATTTCGTCCTCCGACGCAGTTGTTCAGCCACTTGCAATGATGATCGAAGTTGGAGACGCACTTGTTACAAGCGCTACAAAAAGATTATTCATTATTTTTATCTGCGGCAAAAACAGTCTTGTGAATTATAAATCGTCGCTCGGTTGAAGTGCTTTTAGAGGAAATCGCGTGCGGCTTTAGAAAATTGAAGAGCCTAGGCCACTCGAGAGGGTGTGTTATTAATGAAAAAGGTTTTTTTTTTTGTTTGCTTGTGTGGCTTTTGAGAAAATTGAAACGCTGAAATTATTTTTGTGTCTCTGCTTTTAAAAATGTAAAGACAGTAAAAAGCCTCCAAAGATTCGGATGTATATTGTCTGATTTTTATCTTTCTTTTTTGCTTAAATTTGCCAATGGAAATGATAAAACCCATTTTTGAAACTTCATCTTCTACTTGTGCTATACTTAAAAGGAATGTATGAGCAATTATTAGGGAAATAGAAGGAATTCTTTCAATATTGGGTTTGGGAATCTTGATTGTATCATTCACTTCAATTATGAGTCGCTTCAAAATTTTCTGATTCGATTTTTCATAGTTTTCCAATCTTTGGAGTCTCTGAAATCTTCTCTCAGAGTCTTCAGTATTGGAGTCTTTGGAGATTGCTGAATTTCAAATCTCATGCTCAATTTGCTCAACTATGGCTCACATCAAAATCAATATTAACAGAACTTGAAACATTATGACTTGTGTATATAGAGTATTGACACCTAAAGTCTAGAGTTTCAATTAAAATTTTTTCAGCACTCCGAGTCTTGACTCTTAATAGTTTTGCGACATTTATTACAGTTTCAAAAGAGTATTTTCTTCTTCACAATATTCGATTGTGAAATGAAAACTGAAAATTATCGCCAACAAGTTTATACCTGCAATGTTTGGTCCGAAGACTGGTCACCTCGATGTGACAAAGATGGCAAATGCCGCCCTCGATTACGTGAGCGTGTTTGGCCCTGTCGAGTTGCGGTACAGGCAGTAGAGCCCTGTGACGTAACGCTTCTTCTGCTGGATCTATAAGGGCTGCCGCCAAATGAGTAGCTAGATGAATCTAAAATAAATTAATAATAGTTGAATGGTTGCGTGCCAGCATTTTTGTCATTAGCTTGATTAGTTCATCAAAACCTGATCCATTAATTTGCTAATTAGTTTTAGATGGTAGGTACATTGTTAGTCAAAAAGTGTGTCATATTAACTTGTATTATGCACAATTTGTGGTAAAACTTGTAGTCAATTTAATAAACAAATTGCACAAATAATGAATCGTTTCTATTTTGTAGTGCAAAGATCTAAAATCCCCCACAAAAGCAATTAAGTCTTTTGGCCGATTTACAAAATTCATGTTTCACGGTGTCCCCAGGGGAAATATTAAAATCCGTTTTGTGCCAATAGAGAATGAAATTTTTGAATTATTATTGTCCGACGACCTGAAAACATTTTATGGATATTCTTATGTAATTTAAAATTTATGAAATAATAATTAGGTCAATAGAATATGTAGCTGACAGTCATTAGAGGCTTAATGGAAATTATTTATAAAGCGTGTTTCCACAGAATAAATTTCTCATTCAATTATTAGAAGCCTACAGAACACTTTAGAACTTTAATAGGCCTTTCGGAAAGTATACAAAACACCTAAAATTCAATTCACAATTTCTAAAAGCATTCTGTAACGTTTCAGAACAATTTGGAAACTTCAGAATGGCGTAAAACATTCAAAAACCGAATTAGAATTTCCAAAAGCATTTTTAGAACAATTCAGAAATTTGAAACCTATTTTAGCACGCTCCAAAGTACTCGAACACTCTAGAACAATTTAGAAACTTCAACAATTAAGATTCAATTTAGAATAAGAAACCTTTCACAGCTCTTTTGAACCAATTTAGGACACTTTGGAGCTTCAATCTTCAATGAGGGTCTAAAATACTTAAAAATCTATCAGAACTCTTCAAGCCAAGTTAGAACACTGTAGAACTTCAATAAGTCATTTGGAACGCCCCAAAACACTTTCCTTCAGAACAGCATTTTGAAAGGCTTCAGAACAATGTAAGAACTTCAGACGTGTTTAGACAAACGTCTGCAAGACGATAGATTTTGTAAGATACGAAGTTTTTAAGTCATATCATTAAGATGTCTTGAATGTTGTTTGTGGATATCTTAAGATGTCTTTGTACTGTCTAGTGTTTCTCTCCAAATACTAGTATAATTATAATAAATAAATTCTTACCAGTAAAAGGACGGAAACAGTGGCGGCGGCGGCGGGTTGCGCATAAAGAGGCAGAGCAGGCACGAGTCCGAGCAAAGCGCCCGCTGCCAGCGCAGCCAAAGTCAACCAGCCGCAAAGTTGAAGCGGATGAAGGGGCGGTTGAAGGCCGTGTTGTCTGCGCAGCCTCACCGACCTGAAATTCAAAAGAAAAATGCTCCAAAATGAATTCCGAACAACAACTCATGGCCTATAGGAATCAAGAAAAAGTAACCATTTTATTGGAATTAGAATACAATAGAGGTTTTTGGTATATTGTAGAATCACAAAGTATCTGCATCAACAAGAAATTGAGTCAAATCTGAGGTTTTCCTAGCTCATTTAAGTAATAAAATTATCAGTAAATTTGGTTCTATATTCTTGAAGAACACAATTTTCCGATTCTAAAATTATATAGTTTGTCTATATTTGGTTGAGCCGTCTTCAACATCTAAAAATTTTAAAAATACTATTAGAGAAACCAAGTACCTCAAATTTTACCTGCAGCTTTCACCTATATATGTAGAATGGTTCACAAAATCAGTAGTTGGATAGTATTTTTACAATTTCTGGAGCCGAATGCTCAATCAAATGTGAAGGTAAAGGCTGTAGGTGGGGTGTCAATATATATTAAAAAAAAACCCTGTACATATTTATACTGTACAAATTATTGCAAAACTTATGGGTGGACCTCTGCGGGACGAGCGCAGCGAGTTCCGCAGCCATCTACTTACCAATATACTCTTAAACTGTTCAAATAAGACACTCACCTGAAACGTGTAGTTTTTGAAGTAATGAGAAAAATTCTCGACCGAGTGAATCAGGTTAGTATTGTACTTTGTACTTGAATAACATATTGGTGAATAGATGGCTGGGTCCACCCATAAATTCCGCAACAATCCAACCATTTGTACTTGAACACCTTGTCACAATATATTACTAGCTTGATAGAGTAATATTACTAATTCCTGTTGAAAGGCCAATTGACAAAAAGTAAATAATCTTTGACTTTATATAATAAGTTATTGTTCAAGTACAAATAAGTGGATTGTTGCGGAACTTATGGGTGGACCTCTGCGGGACGAGCGCAGCGAGTTCCGCAGCCATCTATTCATCAATATGTTGTTTAATTACGATACTTAACTGACTCACTCAAATGTGCCTTATTCTCATTAGTTTAAAAATTACATGTTTCAGGTGTAATGTCTCACTTGAACAGTTCAATCCTATGATTTCCTGGCAGTCGCTGCAGGTCCACCCATAGGTTCCGCAACAATCCATGCATTTATTTGTACTTAAACAACAATTTATTATATAAAGTCAGAATTTGTAAGATTATCCACTTTTTGTCAATTTGCTTTTCAACAGGAATTAGTACTAATGTTACTTTACCAAACTAGTAATAAATTGTAATAAGTTATTTAAGTACAAACGAGTGGATTGTTGCGGAACTTTTGGGTGGACCTCTGCGGGACGAGCGCAGCGAGTTCCGCAGCCATCTATTCATCAATATGTTATTTAATTACAATACTAAATTGATTCACTCAAATATGCGTTATTCTCATTAGTTTAAAAATTACACGTTTCAGGTGAGTGTCTTATTTGAACCGTTCAACAGTATATTGGTGAGTAGATGGCTGCGGAACTCGCTGCGCTCGTCCCGCAGAGGTCCACCCATAAGTTCCGCAACAATTCACTCATTTGTACTTGAATAACTTGTCACATTATGCTACTAGTTTTGAAAAGTAACATGACTAATTCCTGTTGAAAGACAAATTAACAAAAAGTGAATAATCATAATCTTACAAAGGACATCGCACACATCTTATGGGTTTTCGGGAACCGGTCAATATTTTTAAAAATATTGGGATTTTTGTTTCCAATTTCGCAAATAAAGAGTCTAATAAGTCTAATATTTTATACAGGGTTGCCAAGCTTGCCTATTCTTTTACAAATTCTGCTTTTTTAATAAGTAGTGCAAAAGTTGTAGTGGGAAAATGGTAAAATGCAACCTAAATACACTACAATATTTCCACTTCAAAAATAGTGATTACCTAATGCCTATTTGCACTTACTTCTAAACAACGTAGGTACTTGATGAGTACTTCACATTGTTTTTATGCTGAGTGTAGCCCAAGTACCAAACAACTCTGGAAATGTAGGAGCACATGCCCAAAGCTCTAGCACCAACCTATTAACAATTATACAGGGTGTCCTAGCCGAGGGTGACCCATTTTGCATGCTTATAACTTTTAAACCAGGTGTGCTAGCTACCTGCGGTTTGCGTTATTCGACTTATCTTGGCTTAAAGTTATTAAACACTTATTCAAAGCCAGTAAAAAGTTTTTCAACATCGAAAATCTCCACTATTTTATATCACAACGTAAAAAAAAAGAGTCATGTTGTTATATCACAGGCTAAATATGTATGAGTATCTCATATCACACTGATTTTTAGGAATTGTGCTGACAACTGACGAATTGTGATTAGGTAATTACTTTCAACATTACTTTTTTGGGTCTTGTTTTCAATTTCATACCTACTGGGTTTAATGTTCATAAGAATCCATGATCGAATAAAAAGTTATACTTTTATCACTTTCCGCCATCTCGAATTTTACCACATTTGTAATTTTTTAGATTCCATAACATCCCTGTGATATAGGCTTTATTTTAAGACCACATTTTTTTTAAATCGGACAAAAATTAAAAAAGTTACGGGCAAATAAAATCCAGTGCGAACTTTTTGGTAACCCTAGGTATTAAGAAATAAGGCAGGATTTCTAAAAGAATACGCAAGCTTAGTATACAGGGTGTATAGTATATCAGACATCTATTTGCGAAATCGGAAACAAAAATCTCAATACGTAGCTGTAGTGCGCGCCGACATCGATAATTAAAAGGCTTGTTTTATGATTTTCGGACCTACTTTACTGGGTCGCCCTGTATAGTTAGAGAATTGGTGCAATGGTGAAAATATCTTATTTTAGCTAGTACATACTACACAAGCCACAGATAATGATGCTACCAAAATTAATACTCGTTAAGAAGTGAATGCCTATGATGATGATGATGATTTTCAAGAAGGTACTTAAATTATATTATTTCAATTAGGTAGCAGCTAAGATAATATTTATATTATAAATCTGGTTAAAATGTTTATTTATTCCTTTGTTCCCAGTATAAAAACTAAAAATGCGACTAACCATTTATGGCTCGTTGGATTTTCTTGTGCCAATGATAATTTTTGTTTAGAATGTTGAGGAGAAGGAGAACAACATATCCAAATTTCAGACAATTTCACCGAAAACCATTTTCCATAAGATTGATGCAAATGACAAAATCAAGTTAACTGAAAGTGTGAATATGCTCTTCTACAAATGATTCATACTGTAAAATCTATATCAACATGAAACCCCTTGAAACCTGTTCTTTTGTGATTTATATTTCTTCGGTACTCCATCAACCTCAACGCTATGCTTATGAATTTTTGCAGATTCATTGAGTGGTGAGAAGAGCATACAAATTAAGACCAAACTTGTAAAATTCATCAAACAATGCTCACGTGACTTCTACCAACCACTAAATTATCCAAAACTAAATAGAACCTAACCCAAACTTAAAAGGTCAAATCATTATATAAGTTATATTATGCATATAAACGAATTGTTACTTACCCAGACCTGCGCGGCCGCCCGTCGATGGGCGGCTCAAGGGCGACCCGGGTCTCGTTGGCAGTTGACATCGCGGGCGTCGGGGGCGGCCATGTCGCGACACGGGGACGGCATCCGGACGGTTAGGTGGTCACGTGCACACTGGCGTGCCGGCAGCGTCGCGACGCTCACCGTAAAACTTCTATCGATTCGTTTGTGTTGAACGACACACAAGGGCGGCGAACTAGGGGAGTGGTCATTAATGGTTTGTAAAACTCTGTTCCTTAATCGGTCTATATAAAATTTGAAGAATGTACTCAGAAAATTCATTCATTAAGTTCTACTGCACTTTATATCCCAGTAATAATAATATATAATTTAATTACAATATTATTATCTTAAAATTCCAGTAGCGATTTGAAAACAAACAATTAACCATCTGGATTATTTGTTTCCAATCAATAAAACAGCAAAAACACTTGTTTTAATGTGTTAAATGGAAATTTCCTCGGTACAAGGAAAACACAAATCAGGAAATTTATATACAGTGTATTAATTTCTCGTTATCATCAAAAGACAGTGGCGGAACTTATATTAATTCTCATAACAGAGTCACGTTTTGGCTTGATCAAAGAATGAAGCCCAATATAATTAGACTAAATTATATTAAAGCAAACATATTAACAGTCATACAGTCACGTGTTTGGTTGATTAAATTTTCGTGGAATTTAGTTGTTTACTTAATAAATTAAGTTTTTTAAATAACTGCTTTCGATTTTCTCGCGGTTTTGCAACCGATTACCAAGTGCCAAGTACCAAAATCCTATGTCCTCATTAGATAACGTCGATTTGGGTTTTGAAACTTTTCCATTTGGAATTGGATTATTTATTTTATGTTTATTTGGAAACAAAGAAGATTCGTGGATTGATGTGTAGCCTTTCATTGAATTCACAGATTAATTCTGAATTGTGATTCTTAAATTGAAGCTTTTCGAAATTCTCAAAACTTTAGATAGTTTTCAAGGCCCTTGAAAGTTCTCGTCTTGAAGTCATCAAGACCCCATTTAGGAATAAATACTTCACTAATTTAGGCCTTTGAATATCTGAAAATAATGAAAGATTTGAAGAATTTACTATTTGAAAACTCTCAAGATCATAAAAATTGAAGACCTCTACTGATTTAATAGGTAAGGTAAGACTGAACCTATACCTATTCTAATTCTTAAAGATTGATTTATCAAATTCTTTTAAGACTATCTTTGATTTTGTCTCATAACTGAAAAATTTGAAGAATCTAAAAGCTTCATTTTTCAAGATTTTGGAATCCAAACTATGAATGCCTTCAAAAGTCTAAAGACAATTGATAAACTGTCGATTCAGTCTTTAAAGTTTTACTTATTCTAGCTCTATATCAGCCTCAAACTTATTGTATAGCTCTAATTAATAAAACATTAATGATTTTTGTTTTTGGTCCATAGTTATTACTTATACAATTTATCATCGTATATCCGATATCCGTCCGTGTGCGAAAACCCCATTTTCAGCCATATCCAAAGAAGGTCGGCGTAATGGTGGGGGCAAGCACGTATAAATACAAATCGTTTATCGGGCAAAAATTTAATGTAACACCTCCAAATGTGAAAATATGATTTGTCGTCTTATATCACCACCTCAATTTGAATCTACACCAAGTTAGCCGGATTTTGTGTTTTGGAAGTTATATTATATTTTTGATTCTTGCTAAACTATATACCTACAAACCATCATGAATGTTTATTGTGTGATGATAAGTTTTCTTTTAATTTTTGGTGTTTTTGGAAGTGTTCAACAAGCATTTGCAAGAAGTTTGCTATTGCCTGCTTCATTTGGAAATGATGCTAAAGCGTATTTTGTAAGTACATATAAGGAAAATTCTTCTTTAATTGTTAACAATATAATTACCATTATTTTACCCAAGAAATTAATTATTCTAATCTAATTTTTCAATTTGGGTGGTCAGTTTTGGTGTTGGGCAATGTCACTTTTAAACAAAACATTTATAATGTATCTACTGGTCAGTTTCTTGATAAAAATCCTCAACGATAAATGTTTTTGTTTTAGGCGATGAGCCTGTTGTAAACATTCAACACTTGTAAACTAAAAACATTTAAGTATATGGTGTCATAGTTTTTGGGTTAAACTAATTAATAAAACTGTTTATTTGATAGGCTTAATGCGCATATTATTTTTGAGATGATGATAATTTCTCAAGCTTTTCATAAAATGCTCTACAAAATAATATAGGTTTTGGACAAGGACGTATATAAGGTGGAGGTTTTGGGGGTTCCAACACCCCCATTGAACTGAATAAATTATTTTTATTGAAGAAAAATAAACGTTTTTGGGCGAGGCACCCGAAAAAAAAAATCGCCTTTGACGATATTCTGACGGGCTTCAGAACTGTGCGGTACTCGGGTACGGTACGAGTACTTTTCATTGTACTAGTATATTTTTAGTTAATCGGTACTCAGGCCAAGATTCTTTCTGAATCGCGTATTTGGACTGCTTAAGAATATAGAAAATAGGTACCCGGTAATTTTTATTGTACTGAGTAATTTTCAAAAAACCTGCGTACATGCGTTTTTACTTAAATACATTTGTTAGGTATACCTGGATATTTTCATTGTTTTCGAATACATTTGCAGCTGGTGAGTAAAATTATTGGACTCTAACTAAATACATATTTATTTGGCCACAAGTACATTTCCAGACAAGTTGAAGATCTGACATTAGGCCTGTTCCAACACGTCAAAAACCGTCCCATGAACGGTTTCGAAACCACTCAGTGAACGAATTTCGGTTTCTACGCGCAAATTTTACAGTTTCCGCAGAATCATGACAATAAATTGTACGATTTCCTGCTGTGTTGGAACAAACCTATTATGTCACGGTTACGATATAACCAATTTTCAGCCATTTCTTGTTCAACATCAGATGCTTAGCATGCGTTCCATTCATCGTTGTCATTTGCAAACGAAAATTTTGAACTTTTCTGTGCACTGTGACATTGTGTCTGACCATAAATTTGGAAATTCTGATTTCCATTTACAATAATTATCAAAAGCTACCTTAAAGCACAACCCAAACACGGTCATAAGCAACCCAATTGCAAACCCATAAAGCACATCTTATGATTTAGATTTTGGCAAAACTTTGAAAGGTCATAACTTTTTTTCTATTATAGATAGAAAGCTGAAATTTTCACTGAATTTTATCTCAATAGAAAGAGGTTATTTGAAACTCCGAACCCAAAGGCTTCATTTTCGGGAAAATCAGCTTTGAATCTTTTGTGAAATTTGAGACAAAGTTTTGACTTTGAGCCTCAATATCTTCAGAAGTATTTAAGATAGAGAATTGAATCTTATTTTATATTAAAGATAATTTAGAATATATAATTTTACATCATATTTGTTTCAATAATAACAGAGTAATGAGCGATTTTGTGAGACAATGTCAGATTATTGAAATTTTCTGGGCCCAAAATATGGAAAAACGGTTTTTATTTTCTTACAAGCCCTAAAACCCAAAAAGCAAAGTTGCGTAAATGCTTTTCCACTAATTTCCACCTCCTATTTGGATTGGTGAAGTCAAAAATTGCAAAATCGAAAAATTTAAAAATTCAAATTTTTCCAAAGGGGTATGCATGGCAATTTGATTTTCAAATATTTCAAAGGGCCATATTTTGGAAACCAGTGAAGCTATCGGCATAAATCTTTTGCTCAATTGTTGCTCTTCAGAAGGGCTATAAAAAAGGTTATTTGAGACTCCGAAATCAAGGGCTTCGTTTTCGAGAAAATCAGCTTTGAATCTTTTGTAAAATTTGAGACAAAATTTTGACTTTGAGCCTCAATATCTCCAGAAGTCTTTAAGATAGAGAATTAAATCTTATTTTATATTAAAGATAATTTAATTCTGATTCAGAATATATAATTTTACATTATATTTGTTTCAATAATAACAGAGTAATGAGCGATTTTGTGAGACAATGTCAGATTGTTGAAATTTTCTGGGCCCAAAATGTGGAAAAACGGTTTTTATTTTCTTACAAGCCCTAAAACCCAAAAAACAAAGTTTCGTAAATGCTTTTCCGCTAATTTTCATCTCCTCATTCGATTGGTAAAGTCAAAAATTGCAAAATCTAAAAATTTAAAAATTCAAATTTTTCCAAAGGGGTATGCATGGGAATTTGATTTTCAAATATTTCAAAGGGCCATATTTTGGAAACCAGTGAAGCTATCGGCATAAATCTTTTGCTCAATTGTTGCTCTTCAGAAGGGCTATAAAAAAGGTTATTTGAGACTCCGAAATCAAGGGCTTCGTTTTCGAGAAAATCAGCTTTGAATCTTTTGTAAAATTTGAGACAAAGTTTTGAATTTGAGCCTCAATATCTCTAGAAGTCTTTAAGATAGGAAATTAAATCTTATTTTATATTAAAGATAATTTAATTCTGATTCAGAATATATAATTTTACATCATATTTGTTGCAATAATAACCGAGTAATGAGCGATTTTGTGAGACAATGTCAGATTGTTGAAATTTTCTGGGCTTAAAATGTGAAAAAACGGTTTTTATTTTCTTACAAGTCCTAAAACCCAAAAAACAAAGTTGCGTAAATGCTTTTCCACTAATTTTCATCTCCTCTTTCGATTGGTGAAGTCAAAAATTGCAAAATCGAAAAATTTAAAAATTCAAATTTTTCCAAAGGGGTATGCATGGAAATTTGATTTTCAAATAATTCAAAGGGCCATATTTTGGAAACTAGTGGAGCTATCGGCTTGAATATTTTGCCCAATTGTAGCTTTTGAGAAGGGCTACAAAAAAGGTTATTTGAGATTCCGAGCTCAAGGGCTTCGTTTTCAAGAAAATCAGCTTTGAATCTTTTATGAAATTTAAGACAAAGTTTTGACTTTGAGCCGCAATATCTCCAAAAGTATTGAAGATAGAGAATTGAATTTTATTCTATCTTAAAGATAATTATACATTATAATTTGTGCAGTTACAACCGAGTGCTTATAAACTCTGGATTCTGGATAACCAAATCAAACTTCAAAATTGCTGAATTCATTTACCAAAACTTGTTCTTCGATTTTTGATGTGTAAACATCTATACCGGCGGTTTGATGGTAAATTTCGGGAAATGTGATGAAAGTTTAAAAGGGAAGGTGACGTCATAACCCATGTGCAATGCAAAGTTCGCAGCTACCTCAGCGCTTGCAGCCTATGAGGATTCAATAGATTTCTATGATAGATCAAGGCTGTTTAAAAAAGGACGTTGCGTAATAACTTGTACCTATGACATCATTGGGTAGGAATGCAAGGTGGTATTAGAATGTATTCATAAATGTACATGGTACTTTGAATACTTGGGTATAGAATACTTGTAATTGTACTCTGTACTCGAGAACATTCTACGTTAAGTACTTGTACCCGGTAGCCGAGTACATTTTGCCTGTACTCGAAACAGCTCCGACTATACTACGACCGGTCGGTTTTGGACAGTATTTTGACTAAAAGTCATAACTTTGAAGTTCAATTACTCAATGAACGTATGAGTTACGGATAGCAAATTTTGCTCAGTTTATAGAGAATTTATTGCTCATAATGTATTTCAAGTTACTCGAATTTCATTGAAAAATTGAGCAATTGCTCATGACTATGTCAAAAATATCCAGGAATTTTCTTTGAGATTTTATGCTCTCTTTGAACATGTGATTTGAAATTTATGTTAGACCCTTTTTTCTGAAAAATAAAAATTTTGGATTTTTTGCATTTATTACAACATTTTCGAACTCAATATCTCGCTACCCGAATGAGATACCAAGATGAAATTTTCAGGGATTATAGTCCTTGATAAGTGCTTTAAAAATTATAAAAATCACCAGTTTTGTGCTTATGGTTTTTGAGGAAATTGATTTTGAAGTTTTGGACAGTATTTTGACTAAAAGTCATAACTCCGAAGCTAATTACTCAATAACCGTATGAGTTACGGATACCAAATTTTGCTCAGTTTATAGAGAATTTATTGCTCTTTGGAATCATATATAATCTATTTCAAGTTACTCGAATTTCATTGGAAAACTGGGCCATTACTATGTCAAAAATATTCAAAGACTTTTCTTTTTGTTTTTATGCTCTCTTTAAACATGCGATTTGAAATTTTTAGGGAATAAAGCTGTTGATAAGTGCTTAATAAATTATAAAAATTAATATCTTTAGGCTTATAGTTTTTGAGATAATTGATTTTGAAGTTTTGCATTGTATTTTAACTTAAGTTCAGCTTTGAAACTCAATAACTCCTTAACCCTATGAGTTACAAGTCCCAAATTTAAATCAATTTATAGAGAATTTAATGCTCTTTTCAACCATATATAATTAACCAAATTGCTCAAGTTTAGTTGGAAATATGGGCGATTCTTCATGACCATGTCAGAATTTCCAAAAATTCAAAGCCAAAAATTGAATTTTCTTTTTGATGTTGCTCCCTTCAAAACTGCGATTTGGAAATGATTATAAGACTGTTTTTTGACTAATTTGAACCTGCTCTGTAGATTGGGAAATTTTAAAAATAAAAATTTTGAATAGGATAGTGATTCTCCTGTGTTTATTTTCATCTATATACTAAGATCTGAAGAAAACGAAAATTCAAGAGCCGGGAATAGACAAAAATTGATAGAGAAGAAACTGGAAAATATCGGAAAGAAATTTCTAATCTAAATTTAGCAGACGTCTAAATTATTCAGACGACAGTCTTAAATCTCTAAGCTAATGCCTTAATTTACCTACAGCCTTTACCTTTACAGGTAAAAGAAAGGTGTAAATACAAAAGTTGTACAGTTTTGGCTGAATTTTTGAAAACCATGGTCAAAAACAAAATTTGAATGTCAGAAATGTGAAATTTTGCATGCTTCCAGCTTTTTTTCAAATGGGATGCCCTATATTTCATTATTGTTCATTCTCTATTCTTGAAGAGCATAATGCCCCGATTCCAAAAATATATAGTTTTTTATCTATATTTGATTGAACAGTCTCTCATATATTCGGCTCCAATACTGTACAACTTTTGTATTAACACCCTGTACTTGAGCGATAATTTATTATATAAAGTCAAAATTTGTAAGATTATCCACTTTTCGTCAATTTGCCTTTCAACAGGAATTAATGTTTTTTTACCAAACTAATATAATGTGACAAGTTATTCAAGTACAAACGAGTGGATTGTTGCGGAATTTATAGGTGCACCTCTGCGGGACGAGCGTAGCGAGTTCCGCAGTCATCTATTCATTAATACGTTGTTTAAGCACGATACTAATCTGACTCACTCAAGTGTCAGTTATTCTCATTAATTCAAAAACTACAAGTTTCAGGTGAATGTCTTATTTGAATAGTTTAACAGTATATTGGTGGGTAGATGGCTGCGGAACTCGCTGCGCTCGTCCCGCAGAGGTTCACTCATAAGCAACAATCCACTTATTTGGACTTCAATAATAACTTATTACATAAAATTAGAATTTGTAAGATTATCCACTTTTTGCTAATTTGCATTCTACAGGAATTAGTAGTGGTACTTTACCAAACTAGTAACATAATGTAACAAGTTATTCAAGTAGGTACAAACGAGTGGATTGTTGCGGAACTTATAAATATGGACCCAGCCATCTATTCATCAATATGTTGTTCAAGTACAATACTAACCTGATTCACTCAATTGTGAATTTTTCTCATTAGTTCAAAAACTACACGTTTCAGCTAAGTGTCTTATTAGAACAGTTCAACAGTAAACTTTGATATTAGTGAGTATATGTTTGCGGAACTCGCTGCGCTCGTCCCGCAGAGGTCCACCTATAAGTTCCGCAATAATCCACTTATTTGTACAGGGTGTTTTTTTATATATTGACACCTTACCTACAGCCTTTACCTTCACAGGTAGAAGAAAGGTGTAAATACAAAAGTTGTAAAATTTTTGGCTGAATTTTTACCATGGTCAGAAACAAAATTGTACTGTATCCGTCACTGTATCTTACATTTCTAAAAAGTCTAATTTTCCTAAGACTTATGTGCCAAAAATTATCAGACAAATGTCTTGAACTGAAAAAAATTTATCAGATAACTAATTTAAAATAATAATAAACATGAATGGAACTCTATAATCTACTTTACGCATTTATGAATGGAAAAATTACAAAGAAAAATAATAACGTCGAAGTTCCTTAACCTTATAGGCTCTATCAAAACGAATATCTCTATCTTAGTGTTGGCGTAAAATGATAAAACCTCATCGAGAAGAGACGCATTAAAAATTGTTTTGTTTCTATGTAATGGCCAAAATCTTTTTTTTTTTTTGCGAGGTTAAACTCTTATCAAACTTATTTCCCAATTCTCTCAATAGTGAGACAACAAGTCTAATATTGGATGGTGATTTCATTTGGATCATCAATGTTCTGTTAAATTATTTTCGGGTTATCTGCACTAATAGTTCAACCACAAAATAATTGTCACCATTAAAGGTTTATGATGAATTAAAGTCTAAAAAAAAATTACAACGACCCTCATATCGTTCTTGGTTCAAGGTACACACGAGCCATGTACTAAAACCTCAAGAAAATTTTCTCCTATAAATTTTTAATTAAAGCAGATTAAGAGGCCATCAGGCTGATAAGAAAATGTTAATAGACAGCTGGTCGCCTTTTATTAATTACAACAATGACCTTATTTATTATACGTTTTCAGGATAATCAAGAAAAGCTCCTGGACGTGCGATTGCAAGAGGATTCGTCCCTGGACCTTCTAAACAATATAGAACAATTATTTGTTATGGTCAAAACCAAAACAACTAGAGGGAAAAGATATATTCAGCAACGTAAGTATAGTAAGTCATTATTTTGTTATTATAATTATTGTACTTTGAAGACAACCATATATAAAGATAAATGAGATGTTCATGGTCATGGTTAAATGAATTTTCTTGACCTCATTTTATCTACTTATAGATTTATTGGTCAATTAATGTTAAATGTTAAAGGATTTTTAAGAGGATATTAAGTATTTCAAAAAGTGAAAAATGTAACCATGGAGCAATTTCTAGAATAAACTCACTCAATATTATTTAAACTGTTGAGTTCAATATGTCTCAAACACACACACACGCCATATAGAAAACATTCTTTGTTTCAGATCTAACACCATGTTTTTTCAAAATCTGCAACATGGGCAGGAAAAGAGTGGCCCATCATAATCTGTAGCTGATTGTACCCTTATAGAAGAAGGTCCAGAAGTGTCTATTTCTGGACATTGAATGTTTTTTGTGTAGTTTTTTTTTAAATTTAAACTAGGTACTTATTAAAAATTTGTAAATATTATAATTAATTATTATTATTATATTATGTTCCTACCCAATTTATTTATTTTTAATTTATATACCTACTAATCATCAAATAACTTAGTATTACTATTATTACTCTTGACAGTATGCTTTATCAGTTATTAATTTTGGCCATTTATGTAGAGAGGCTTCTAGTATAAGTATTTATATTTTTTGTATGAAATTATTTAATTTTGTTTTATATCCGTTTTATACATATTTGCAAATAAAGATTAATTCTTTGTTGTATTTTGTTTTGTAGATACTTTTGTCATGGCTTTTGAAATTTTATTTTCGTCTTTCAGACTAATGTGTTATAACTTGACTGAAGAATTCTGGATCATTCTAGAAGTTTTTCAGTAATTTCTAAATTGTTTTGATAGATATTTAAGTATATTAGAGCCCTTATTGAAGCTCCAAAGTGTTCTAAATTGGTTCAAAAAAGTTCTAAAAGGTTTCCAGTTCTAAATTTAGTCCTATAATTGTTCTGTTATAACTCTGAAGTTGTTCCAAAATGCTCGTGAAAGCTCTGATTTGGATTTTTATAAAAGGCTTAAAGTTCTATAACAATTTAAATTCGCTCTTAAAAGCCTTCAAAGGCGTTTTGTAACTTTTAACCTGAATCCTAAGAGTCTGACGCTTCTAAAAATATTTTTGGAGATTCTAGAGTGATCCAGTGTTTTTGAACGTCCTAATATGGGTTTCATACTTCTGAATTGTTCCAAAATGCTTTTGGAAATTGCAAATCGATTTTTGAATGTTTTGGAACATTCTAAAGTGATTCTGAGTTTTCCATGTTGTTCTGAAGCGCTGCAGAAATTACAGAATGCTTTTGAAAATTCTGAATTGAATTTTTAAGTGTTTTGAACTTTTCAAAGGGCCCATTAAAGTTCTAAGTGTTCTGTAACAGTTTATTTGGTTTTCAGTAACTTCTAGATTGAATGAAAAACGAATTTTTGTTGGTTAAAGTATCGAACAACTTAGAATTAAATAGAGAAGAAATTCAAGAGCCGGGAATAGACAAAAATTGAGCTAGAAAATTGATAAACATAATTTTGGCTCCCACGTTTCCTGAAACCGGAAAAAAAAGAATAAATTTTTTTAGTAGGGATGGAAAACCACATGTAAAACGCCTTCGCCAAAAGAACAGAAATGACGTTTTCGATAGTTGGGTGCATTAAATCCGTGATTATCGATATGCGTATATCGATATTGAATGCAAACCAAAAGCCAGAGTGGTCTACTTGAAAATACCGCCTGAAGGCAAAGCCTAAAGTTTCTCAATTAATTGTTCCAAAATGCCCCTGAAAATTCTGATTTGTATTTGAACTGTTTTAGATACTTATTAATTATAAAGGTCCAAAAGTTCCACAGCAATTTAGGCGCTTTTAAAAGCTTCCTGGATTTTTGATTGGAAATCTTGAATCCTAAATATCTCGGTAACCAAAAGCAATATTGAAACAAAATTTCCAGAAATTGTAGTTCTTGAAAAGGGCTTTAAGATGATATTTAGTTAAAATCGCTAATATTTAGGTATAATTTTTGAGAAAATTAAGTATAAAATTTTGGAAAAATTTCCAATTTGAGGCTCAATATCTTGGAAACTTTACAAAGCTATAACAACCAATTTTGCACGAGCTCATAGAAAATTTAATGCTTTTTCCAATAATATATAGTTATTATTAATTTACTCGAGAATAATCGAAGAACAAACAATTCAGAAATTTCAGCGTTGTTTTAGAACAATTAGGATTTAATTTTAGAATTATATTTAACCAACTTAGAACACTAAATAGGGCTCCAAAATACTTAAAAATGTATAAGAACAATTTAGAAAACACTGAAAAACTTCTAGAATGCTTTAGAACCCTTCAAACTAAGTTAAAACACTTTAGAACTTCAATTTGAAACACTTTCCAGCGACCTTTAGTGCCTGGAATAAACAAAAATTGAAAGTTATAATGTTCTGTGGTTATAATCAAGGTTTGTTCCAAAAACCATCGCAAAAACTGTTTCGGAACCACTCTGTATACGTAGTTTTTGGTTTTGCGCAGAATCTTGACAGTACATTGTACGGTTTTTTTGCTTTGTTGGAACAAAGCTAAAACTTTTTAAAAAAAATTAACACTATAAGGGCGGGTATTATAAAACTGCTTTGACAGTTAACTTGAAGTTAACTTTTTGAATTAGGTACATGTAATTCTAGAAGTTAACTTTAAGTTAACTCTCAGAGTAGTTTTATAATACCCGCCCTAATTCGGCCCTATAACTAACTAGAATCAAGGGATTTATCTACATTTGCCGTCGGGGTACTACTTACTCTACTACGCAGTTATTTTTTTGACTATTTCACTTAGGGGAGAGTAGGGCAACTTCGACAGACGGAGCAAGTATTTTTCTCTTTGAATTTATACGTTTATTGGTTTCAAATGCCTACTGAAAATACGTTATCACTATGTTCAAATAAAGTTGTGTTTATTTCTGTACAAATCGTTTTTAAATCTTGTAAACCTTAACAATGTCGAAGTTGCCCCACTCTCCCTTACTCATATTTATTACCTTTTATATGTTTACCTTTTTTTTTTCGGGTCGAAATTCGGATTTCTTTTTTGTACAAGACAAAGGGATTTAAATTCAGTCGAGTATCTACCAACAATTATTTTTTCGTAATTGATTTTTCTAATGTCTGAGTCTGGAACAATTCAGAATTGTTTTATTCATGTTGTTTTTGATTTTATTCTCTATCTTTAATTGGGCAATTAGTAAATTTTACAGGGTGTTGTCGAAAATTGAAAATTTCAGCTCATTTGCACTTATAGTTCCTGAGATAAAATCGTGTTAAGCAATTTGAGGTGATTTATCAATTTTTCAATTTTTCTGAGTGCCTTTTTTCATAGATTTCGGCTTCAAATCTGAGTATAATTTAGTATATGGAGTTTGGGGGATCCCAAATGACCATTAGGACACAAAATCTCAACAAAAAAAAATTTGAAATTTCATCGTTTTAGTAAGAAGGTACCTACCTTATGATTTAGATTTTGGAAAACTTTGAAAAGTCATAACTTTTTTTCTAAAAAAGATAGAAAGCTGAAATTTTCAGCGATTTTTATTCCAGTAGAGGACTACAATCCCTGAAAATTTCAGCTCATTTGGTCTTATAGTTCCTGAGATAAAATCGTGTTAAGCAATTTGGGGTGATTTATCAGTTTTTCAATTTTTCTGAGTGCCTTTTTTCATACATTTCGGATTCAAATCTGAGTATAATTTAGTATATGGAGTTTGGGGGATCCCAAATGACCATTAGAACACAAAATCTCAATAAAAAAAAATTTGAAATTTCATCGTTTTAGTAAGAAGGTACCTACCTTATGATTTAGATTTTGGAAAACTTTGAAAAGTCATAACTTTTTTTCTATTAAAGATAGAAAGCTGAAATTTTCAGCGATTTTTATTCCAGTAGAGGACTACAATCCCTGAAAATTTCAACTCATTTGGTCTTATAGTTCCTGAGATAAAATCGTGTTAAGCAATTTGGGGTGATTTATCAGTTTTTCAATTTTTCTGAGTGCCTTTTTTCATACATTTCGGATTCAAATCTGAGTATAATTTAGTATATGGAGTTTGGGGGATCCCAAATGACCATTAGGACACAAAATCTCAACAAAAAAAAATTTGAAATTTCATCGTTTTAGTAAGAAGGTACCTACCTTATGATTTAGATTTTGGAAAACTTTGAAAAGTCATAACTTTTTTTCTATTAAAGATAGAAAGCTGAAATTTTCAGCGATTTTTATTCCAGTAGAGGACTACAATCCCTGAAAATTTCAACTCATTTGGTCTTATAGTTCCTGAGATAAAATCGTGTTAAGCAATTTGGGGTGATTTATCAGTTTTTCAATTTTTCTGAGTGCCTTTTTTCATACATTTCGGATTCAAATCTGAGTATAATTTAGTATATGGAGTTTGGGGGATCCCAAATGACCATTAGGACACAAAATCTCAACAAAAAAAAATTTGAAATTTCATCGTTTTAGTAAGAAGGTACCTACCTTATGATTTAGATTTTGGAAAACTTTGAAAAGTCATAACTTTTTTTCTATTAAAGATAGAAAGCTGAAATTTTCAGCGATTTTTATTCCAGTAGAGGACTACAATCCCTGAAAATTTCAACTCATTTGGTCTTATAGTTCCTGAGATAAAATCGTGTTAAGCAATTTGGGGTGATTTATCAGTTTTTCAATTTTTCTGAGTGCCTTTTTTCATACATTTCGGATTCAAATCTAAGTATAATTTAGTATATGGAGTTTGGGGGATCCCAAATGACCATTAGGACACAAAATCTCAATAAAAAAAAATTTGAAATTTCATCGTTTTAGTAAGAAGGTACCTACCTTATGATTTAGATTTTGGAAAACTTTGAAAAGTCATAACTTTTTTTCTATTAAAGATAGAAAGCTGAAATTTTCAGCGATTTTTATTCCAGTAGAGGACTACAATCCCTGAAAATTTCAACTCATTTGGTCTTATAGTTCCTGAGATAAAATCGTGTTAAGCAATTTGGGGTGATTTATCAGTTTTTCAATTTTTCTGAGTGCCTTTTTTCATACATTTCGGATTCAAATCTAAGTATAATTTAGTATATGGAGTTTGGGGGATCCCAAATGACCATTAGGACACAAAATCTCAATAAAAAAAAATTTGAAATTTCATCGTTTTAGTAAGAAGGTACCTACCTTATGATTTAGATTTTGGAAAACTTTGAAAAGTCATAACTTTTTTTCTATTAAAGATAGAAAGCTGAAATTTTCAGCGATTTTTATTCCAGTAGAGGACTACAATCCCTGAAAATTTCAACTCATTTGGTCTTATAGTTCCTGAGATAAAATCGTGTTAAGCAATTTGGGGTGATTTATCAGTTTTTCAATTTTTCTGAGTGCCTTTTTTCATACATTTCGGATTCAAATCTGAGTATAATTTAGTATATGGAGTTTGGGGGATCCCAAATGACCATTAGGACACAAAATCTCAACAAAAAAAAATTTGAAATTTCATCGTTTTAGTAAGAAGGTACCTACCTTATGATTTAGATTTTGGAAAACTTTGAAAAGTCATAACTTTTTTTCTATTAAAGATAGAAAGCTGAAATTTTCAGCGATTTTTATTCCAGTAGAGGACTACAATCCCTGAAAATTTCAACTCATTTGGTCTTATAGTTCCTGAGATAAAATCGTGTTAAGCAATTTGGGG